GTTGGCCATTACTTGCCTTGTACCACTGTGAAAGTCATCAATGTGCAAGGAAAACGGCTAACAGGGCAACAGAGAGAGTTTTTTATAAAACTGTTTCTTATAAATCTGAAATCTCAGAGTAATAGGACAAGGCACTTCGGTTCTGCCTCAGTGCCAAAGGCAGCAGAAGGCAACTCATGCAACTGCAGTTCCATCAACCGCACGGATACGTGGGACTCTGCGTACATGGCCTCAAGAAAACACTTTTTCAAAGGAATTTGACCTTGCATGAAAGAGACATTCACATATGCAGCAAATCCAGACAATCAAGAAGTTCATTTTTCCCTGCTAACTTCTTGAAACACGATAAAACTCCTTCTAATTACATCATCTAGCGGATCACCATTGAGTAACGTTTTTAAGCCTACAAGTAAAAGAAGGCTTTATATGACACCACAAGGGCAAGCAGACCCAGTGATTGTTTCCTTTCACTCTCAAGAAAAAAAGACAGTTTAAAAAGTATAAAAAAACTCCCTTAGTTATGTGTGAAAAACTTAGTTGTGTCATATATTAAACTTGTACTTGGTATATCATTGACTCTACAAATACTCCAAATATTTAACTTCTCAGAAGTATTGTTTAGATACATATCTGTAATCCTTCTGTTAGTTATACTATAATCCTACGCAAAAACACATAGGGCAAAGGGGAAAAAGCCAGCCCTCAAAGGCTGGAAGCAAAACAGAGATATTGATATACAGAAAGGGGATGGAAAGCACCCACAGCCAAAAACCCACAAACAATGTCTATGATCACCTGCTCTCACAGGCAAGCGAACCTGTATGTCCTTCTGCTAGCCACAAAGTGGCAGAATTGGTCAGTTTATGAATTCAGTGAGGAGGAAGGAAAAAACCTCTCACAATTAATGTCTGCTAACGCATGGGCTGGGTACAAAGTTGCAGTATCTGACAAGGTAAGGTATGTGTCATAATAAAAGTTAAAAGTCTTGTTTATTAATTAGGAAATAGAAGTGGGATTTTTCACTCACTGTAGACAGAGTTTGTGTTTTAAACTCAATGCTAAAGCTGCTGTTTACAGCAGGATACAAAACCAGAGATACTTAAAGCATAATTTTGTAACTGAATTGTGGAGTTTCATGCTGAGGAAAACTGTTTAAATCCCACAGCACAAGAGTTGACATATTAAAAATTAAACTGCTGTCAATGCATTCAGTGATCGATACACAAAGCACTCGCACACTAAACACGTAGTTCTATTTTTATGCTATGGTTCTTGTTCTTGTCTTTGTGCTAAGTCACAAAGCAAGTAAACTATTTCTTTTGGCACTAGAACTGGGAATCTCAGCTCAGGAAGGATGCAAGTCTTAAATAACTAAACAAATTTTTCATACTTGCACATAAAGCTGATTGGTTTGGTTTGCAGCAAAGGAGGCTTAAATTCGTCATCCCACGCCACTTTTTTTTTTTTTTAAGTCAAGTTAGTCTGTAACTTCACCCTCTCTTAAGTTGATTCTGTGAAAGTTCCTGGCTCATTACTGATGTGTGTTTGCCCTCTCACACCTTAGATCAGCACAAAGTTTAATAGTTCCTGCATGGCAAGAAAACTAAAGCCAGACTGGATATCTACCCCGTAACATGCTTTCAATATTTACTCCAATAAGAAGTGTTAACTCTGCTTGTTTCAGAGTTAATCCAACCTAACTTTACTATTTACTACTAAGTCAAAAGAACTTTGACATGTGGCTTGCATTACATATGAACACACAAGAATTTTATTATGTGTAGGATATTTATACAGGTATGTAGACAACAAAGGAACTACATTGTGATTCCCTGAAGGAATCAGAGTAGTACAAAACCTAGGATACTCCGTAAGTGCACACCCTGAATTGCGCATCCTGCAAAGAGGTACTGCTTATACACTTTTAACTTGCGTGGCAAGTCATGCAAGCAACCCCCCCCATGTAAGCATCACTATGCATTTCTTTTCCTAACCCCTACACGCTGCTTCCCACAGCCAAGGAAGAGTGGCCATGCTTAGTATGATATTGGCTTAATATCTTCCAACTTCTGTTTGGTAACTAGAACATGAAGCAGCTGCAAACCCCACATAAATACAACAGAAACAAAAGGCCAGAAAACTTGCAAGACCAGCTTCTTTTGCACTGTGCTTCTGACATATGCCTGTAATTTCAACTAACACGTTTCTCATACATCAAAAACTTCAATCATCAGTTCAGAAGACTTGCTTCAAATTACTAACCGTCACTGGTATAAACAGCAGTCAAGAGCTATAGATCTATTAAATAGCCCATTTCTTATCTACAGATACTGAACTCAACGATTCAACAGAAAGCAGCATCTTTAAAGACTGTTGGCTGCTACTTTACGAAGTGTTTTGCTCAAATCTAAAAAGCTTTTACCCAATGAAGACATTTTTCACAGCTCAGAAAAGTCCGTAATAGACTATTTTTTTTAAAACTATTTTTAAAGAAAAAGCAACTCTTTCTCACCACTCCCTGTTCTTAAAACTCATGAGTAGAAAAGCAAAATCTGAATAAAGATTGGCCTGTGACATGCTGAGCTCAACTATTGAACAGGACACAGATACTGGTTTTCTGCAATGTCAGCACACTTCCAGGTACTCCCAATCAGTTACATAATTTTAAACCTTAGCATCTACAGAGTCCTAGAGCAAATACTGATATAACCGGAATAGCTGCTTCAGTCATGTAGTAAGATTTGGCTTTGTTTCTTCTCCAAGGACATTTTTCCCAATTTGTTAACTTAGTTATTCTTTTACCCAAACATTTCCAAGATATTGAAGTTCCCTGCACAAGCTGGCAAATTAAAAGTATCATTAGAGAAGATACTGCTATAGGGCTCTGTTATAGTATTTAATATTTTAAATAATTCCTGTTTGAGAAGTTAATTATCCTTATGAGCAAGTCTTAATCCCACAACATAAATTATTTAAAAGATTTTATTAATTAGGTATCTAACAACTTGGTGCCTGCAAATTGAGAAGACCCAGTTTTACTCATGAACACTTCTCAAACTTAGTAGCTAACACACATCATAAAACATCATAAAGCAAAGCCCATTTACTTCAAATTCACATATTAAACCTATTAGGTATAATTACTAAGAACTCCTAGTGTTAAAGACATCTATTTAGAATTATTCTACAGTGAATTTGTGCAATTCTCTTTCTGGTAAGAGTATACACAGTTCAACTCCCTGTGACAGGTTTTGTTAGTGAGAACACCACATTTACAGGAAAAGGATGGTTTAAAACTTCCACTCTGTTTAACCCAAAGATATCCATACATCTAAGACTCTAAGCCAGCTTCCATCATATTTGCACACAATCACCTCCTCAGATACCTATTTTAAAGCATTGGTTAGAAGCTAAGCCAAGTGTGGTTTCATGCTACAAATCCAAATTTTACATTGACACTTAAGTAGGTCCTACAGGTAAGAGAAAAGTCATTTAAGAAAGAAGGGGGAAGGGATAGGGAGAAAATTCAGTTTGGATACACCACTGCATCTCCTATAGTTGGACACTCCTCATTAAACTAGAGGTTGTAAATTGCATTTCTTTCCATTTGACTTTTACACTGCATAAAGGAACACCGTCACTCCCTTGGGGCAGAGAATTTTGCTCTGTCAGAGCTTTCTGTTTTGTGCATAACAGTTTAGAATCATACAATGGTTTGGCTGGACGGGACCTTAAAGCCCACCCAGTTCCAACCCCCCTGCCACAGGCAGGGACACCTTCCACCAGACCAGGTTCCTTGCAGCCCCATCCAACCTGGCCTTGAACACTTGCAGGGATGGGGCAGCCACAGCTTCTCTGGGCAACCTCTGCCAGCACCTCACCACTCTCATCGGGAAGAGTTTCTTCCTAATACCTAACCTAAATCTTCCCTCTTCCAGTTTAAAGCCATTGCCCCTTGTCCTATCCCTACAGGCCCTGGTAAAAAGTTTACGCACAGTAATCACAGAAACAACCTCAAAAGGGACTTAGAATCACTTACTGCTCTACCGCCAAAACCCCAGTAATCTGCATTTATGTTTTTCCTGACAAATTTGTTTATAACCTGCTCCTTAAAACCACAAGGTTACTCCATAACCCACCCAATAGTCTGTTTAGCACTTTGTATGACATTACATTAGAAGGTCTTACAGAAATACTAACTTACCTCTATTGTTACTCATTACTAAAAGCTTATTACTTTCTGCCCTATTCAACAGGGGTACAAGTCACAGATTATTCTATGTTCTTGCTAGTATCGTTTGAGCTCCCCAAGCAGTTCATCTCTGAAGCACACTGCTCAAAAGTAGACATAGCATTCCAGTGGAGACTTTACCCATACTGGAAAAGAAGGGATACTTCCCAAAAGGGAAGGACTACTTGTTATTAAAAAAAAGACACACTTCTTTGCAGAAAATTTAATCAACTGACTTTTAGAAATTTAATCTAAAATGTCTCCCTAGTTTGCTTACAACACTCTTACTTGAGTCTCAAAACTGTTAGTCAAAATGCATGTTGTTTTGAGCTTCTGATACACACAAGAGCTCTAACACTGCAGAATTCCAATTTGTTGTCAAGAGGAGAAAAAACTTCCTGTTACAAAATTGAACTAGTTTTCCTGTTGTCCTGTTGATGCACAAACATACACATACTCACACTTTCTTTTGTTCCAAAATTCCTTTGGAGACATACATTGGAAGTCTTAAATCCCTTCAGATTTTAAAGATAGGAAAATTGATATTCAGCATGCAATATGCAAAGTGATAGAAAAGTCACCTAAGTTTAGGTCACTAGTGTGTCTACTCACAAGTATTTTGGGCCCTAACAGCCTGCAACTCAAACCCAATGTAAATCCAGTTTCAGTTATTTAACAAGTTATGACCTGGACTGCACTAAGAAATCTGATCTTACAATAGCACACAGTGTGATGGTAAGGGGCAAAACAATAATCATCCAATCCCTACCGTTCTCGGTTAAATTTGAGTGAATGAAGTATAGCAGGTCTCTTCTGACGCAAGTTCCACAGGTGTAAGGTATCATCAGCCAAGGCACTCACAAGAGCTCCCTATGAGAAAGAAAAAGGTTTAGTCAATTTATTTTCATAACCCTAGTAACAGTACATCATCGTCATAGTGGAAATATATTACATATTTGCTGTCAGGATGAAAAAAATATTTATAAGCACGCAATATTTATAGGCATCAACACCATAGCACAGTTAAATTTTAGGTAGCAGCAATGAGATAACTGATGTGATCACACATCATTCAGTTCACTCACATTTGGCTGAGTGCTGTACTGAGGGGTGATGGGGAAGGAGAAGCTCTTTCTGGTGTGTGCACAACAGTTCCCTCATGCACACCTCCGTAGAGAAATTAAGCAATGAACTCAACTGCTAGTATCTATGTGCTGACAAAGCTAATGAGGTCTGATTTCAGCATTCCTCTGAGCTAGAAGTCCCTCTACAAATGTGACCCCAGCTAGCTCAACAGCAGCACTGCTGCCAGATCTCAGCTGCTACACCCCTAGAAAAAACACACCTGAAATTAGAGGCATCAGGTTAGGGATCATGGCTCAGCTCACACCTAAAACAGCAACTCTATCAAAATAAAATTAACTACCTACTGAAACTGTTAGTACTACTGAAAACATACTTTACTACTTCAAGAGATAACCTGCAATGTTCAATGATATAAGTATTCCTAGGAAAAAAGTCCTTGCTTATAGCAAAAGAGTACTCTAGAGAGAAATATTTTCAGCAGTTAAGCATTTTCTAAAATTAAAAAGTTAATTTATTTATAGTTATTAAATGTTTGCCATTCATGCTAAGAGTCACTTGTGTTAGCTGATTTTGATGCGTGCTTAATGAGAAATTGAAGAAAATACACTCTATCTACTCTGATTTATGGAATAAGTGCATCATTTTACTAACCTCATTAATCAGGAACTGAAGCTGGATTACTGCAGCTCCACTGTCATGTTGGCAGTAGCATTCAACTCCTGGCCGACCAAAGCTGGAATTGGTACCATTAAGGAATAATTGTTGTACGTAACACAGGAAAAAACAAACACACACCATAACCAATGTTGTCACTGTCACTAATACCACATTCAAACAGGTTAACATCCTGCTTCTAGCTAGTGTGCTCAACATACTTAACCATCTAGATCTGAATGATCACCAAAAAAATAGTTTATAAACACAAAGGATCACAAAGTTGAAAGGTCCATCTTATTTATCGCCATGGAATATGAAAATTATGTATAACTGCTGAACATACAGTTATTTAAAGGATTCTTCATCAATGAGAACATAAGAGAACAATGAATTTATATAAAAGGAAGTTAATCTAAATAAACATCAAACGATTACATTTTTCAAGTGCTAAAGGAGTTTCTCTCCTTTTTAAACATTATTTACAGATGAAAAAAGAGCTGAATAGTGCAAGGCACATTAAAAAAAAAATCTGCTGTGACAGAGATAAAAAGGTCAGTAGCCAAGATATGGAGGAGTCAATGGGAAATTATGTATAACGTAAATTTCCAGGATCTCCGTAGCAAGACTTCCTGGATTCACACTAAGTATGAGATAACAAAAGCTTGTTCATTTTCCCTCACATATGTAAATCAGTCCTATACTTCCATAATTAATATCAAATAGAAGCAGCAGCAACAGCTTCTTTCAATTCTCTCTACTTGATCCATTTATTAGTTGCAAAGACTCTGTATTTCAAATGTGGTTATCCTCTTTCTTCTCATATGAAGGACATTCTCCAACCTCTAGTAGACAGAGCAGAAACACAAGTCCAGGTGAATTATGCAAAGCAGCCAGTATTTCATCATTATAGTCTGCCCAGGGTTTCTGGAGTATAATTTGTCAAAGATCTGAACACCTTGTTTTAAACAGCCACCTTAGTTTTTGGAAGAAAGAAAGTAATTCTAAAGTTGGATGCAAAACAGGAAATATAATGTACAATTTGTTCTCTCAGTATACTCTAGACATCAATAAAACAGTACAATTCTCACCCAGTCTGCAAGTTTTCCATTTACTGAGAAATTGTCGATCAAAGCCAGATTGGATATAAACACTCTTAAATATACACACTCACACTAGAAACAGTTGAAAGGCTGAAGAGACTGTTTGGTTGCGTGTAAATCAACAAACACACACATCTCCTGCTCAACCTCTAAGCTGGCGAGAGAAACTGTAAGCAGAACTACAATGGAAACAAGTCTGCTGCAACACACTACTATATTTTAACTTTTAAACTTCAATTATGTTCTCCTCCTAGATCAATGAATCTGCATAACATCCAGCTAAGTGATGAGAGATATACTAAACAGATGTTAAATAATCCAGCAAACTTAATACCAGCTTTCTTCCCCCGAACAGAATTAGTAATTTAATTTTGTTCTGGTATGCAAGGGCTTAAAGAGCCAGCTTGCCTCACCTGTTTTTTCCTTTGTATTTTAAATTCTTACCAATATGCTTCCTGTACAAAGCAGTCATCTGTATTCTACTGACAGTTTACAGGTCTTAAAAAAAAAAAGCCAGAACTTAAAACCTGGGGGGTGGGGGTGTTGTCCCCATAAGTGACACCTTCCTACACAAACTCAGGATACTTTCATGTAAAGGCATTGCTTTTGCCTTAACTATGGATTGACTATACAAATTTCCAGATGGGAAAAAAATATCCCCACAAGGAATACCACAAGTTTCAGAGCAGATTTGTTTCAGCTTTGCTCATGCTTCTACATCCAAATTAATAATTATTTGCAGAAATAGAAAAAAAAAAGCAATTTCTGAAAGTGAAATTCAGATGTTTACAAGAACTGAGTTTTAAAACTTGATAGTTATTTATCCGCACTGACACAGGTAGGTTTCCAACAAGGTAGGATTTCCCCAGCCCCTCCCCTGAATATCAGCTTCCAACACAATTAAATGTAACCCCTGTCCTTTCACCCACCCAGAGTTTATTTGGAATTGAGGCTTTATAGCTACTTTGTCTCAAAACAAGAGGAGCATGACCCAGAAAAGCAGAGGCGGCCATGGATTCCTCAAGTCACTCCAACCTTCAAATTCTATCCCTCAAAAGTTTTCTTTAAGCACTTCTGATGCAAATATTTCTGGAAGCACTGTTACAACTAGTCAGTAAAAATTTCAGTATTAAGAATACCTGAACATTCCTTTTGCATTTTCCAGGACACCTGAACCAGTTCTCTCTCCAGAAACCAGTAAATGTGCAGCACCGAGAGCAAGTTTACACAAGCTTTAAACATTCAGAGCAAGCTGTTTCTTTTTGACAAATTAGTGGAAGCCTCATACGCAGATCCGAAAATAGTTTGACCTCTTTTATTGTGCTTACAGTTATAAAAAAAAATAAAAATAGTCCTTGCAGCTAGTCCCATTTAGTTCCTTTACCCAAGGATTATGTCATCCTCACTTTTTCACCTAGCAGCTAAAATTATTCTTCTCATCTCAAATTAATATCATCCTCCTAACCAGCATTAATCATCTTTTCTAAAGCAATGCAAAGCCTCCCAGTTTTGCGGGGTATGCCGAGTTGAAAAAGCACATCACTCAAGTTGTGACTGTAGAAGAATAATAATACATGCCTGTTTCAGTACATGTGAAGCATTTCCCAACCACACAACACAGGCAGCATCCCAGGGAAGGCAGTTTGTCCAAATCCTCTATTCTTGCGTATGTGTGCTTAAGGCAAGAGAGCTCACTGTACTAAGCAGTGATCATCTACCACATAGTAGTCCCCAAACAGGCAAAAATTATAATGAATAATGACAACATGGGCAGAGTATTTTAATTTTGTAGACAGGAAACACTCTCCACCAAAGACCTAGGGTAGCTCTAGAGGAAAGAGTCTGCTCTGAGCAGTTTTCTAATCAAAGACCCATCTTTCCCCCTTCATTTCCAAACATTTCTTTCTACTATTTCTGCTTCATCTTCTATTCCAAACATTAACAAATTGGATACATCAATAGCTTCCCAGCTGTACCCTTGAATATTGCTCCTGTGTTTCCCACTGCCATTAGGAAATTACTACATGGAACACACTAGTATTTCCTTGTGTTCACTGCATGTTTTTTGAAAAAGCAAGAGACAAAGGCTGTGGCAGAGAGAAGGAAGAGATAACATACGCATGTCCTAACATCAGCGTTCATTTTCATAACTGCTAGAAGTGCAGGTCGTGCATAAGAAAAGCACAGTATCACGCTAATTTAATATCGCATGATGACACTGATTTTACTTTGATTTGTCAGAAAAGGCAACAGTTCCAAAAGATATTTTTTCCAAACAAGCTTCAGACCTAAGCTTACGCCTCTTTTTTCCCCCCAGGTAAAATTAAAGCATTTCAGTTAGTGATATGCGAGTTCCCTCTGCAAAATATTATTTTTTAAAATTACTATTATTTATAGCTTATCTACATAGGAGCAACTCAGTGCACATCTGCCCTTAGAAATTACACTTTGAAAGAGAAAACTAATTACAGGATATTTATGAAAGCCTCAGAAAAGCAGGTCTTTTTTTTTAATTCTTGAACTTACTCTAAATAGACCTAGGGAATACCAGGTAGCTCTTCACCTGTGGTTCAGCCACCTGACACAGGAGACAGTTACGAAAACTGTAGCAATCAATTCAATCCCTAGCATAAGTCAGTTACGTATACAGAGACACATTTATAAAATAAATTACCTTCCAAGCTATCACCATGCAGATACTTGCATCTTCATGCCATTATACCGCTATAAAAAGTTTTGATAGTACAGCACAAGACATAGACCATGTTCCTGTATCAGATTTGCCACTGATATGATGGCTCCAGATTTTTAAGACAAATCTGAAACTGTAGCAGCTTTTAAAATTCATTTCTAGATACTTCTCAAACCTGTAGCTGTAACATCTCACAGTATTTAAACATCTGACAATTTTGATGCAAAAAATAGATCTCCAACTAGAGGAAAACACACACCACTGATCTGAATTACATATAAAACAGTAAGTGCAGTAGATTACTCACAGTATTCTTACATACAGCAGTCTGTAGCACTTAGCTCTCCAGGACTGCATATTATACCTGCACGTTTTACTATAGTCATTGCTCTGTAGCAGTTTTCCACTTTACTTAATCAGACCCTGAATTATTTTCACAGGCAGCAAAGCCACAACTTATTTTGCACACACTTTTATATGTGCTTTGATTGTGGTTGCCAATAATAATCATAACATAGAAAAAACACACAATGATGGAGAGATTTCCAAATAGTATTTTAAGTAAATAAAGATTAAAAGTCTGTCTGGTATTACTCACCACTGCCAAGTCTGGTTACAATCCAACCCAAAGACTTAATTTACATCAAGTCCTGGTGATACATCTAAGCAGGACTAAAGCAGTACAAGAGCAGCTTCATGCAACCTCCTCATTTGTCAATCTTACCTGTGCCTAGACCTAATCAGTACTATTACTTGCACATACAAAAGCATGATGTCTCACAGAAACAATCTCACAAAGAACAATTTATCAAGACACAGAGCTATTTAGCAAGGGAGAGTTATTCAAAATGTTGGAAAGTACTACAGTCAACACTGCCTACAAAACCAACTTTGACCTTTCATGTCCATGTACTACCAAACAAGATAAAATAAAAATCTCTAAAATACTTTCAGGAGTGTTTTAGACTCCATACCAATCTTGATATGGTATCATATCACTATTTTTGAAACAACCGTAGGGTTACAGAGTTTCCTTCTAAAGCTTTAGTCCTGCACAGCATCTTGCTGTGTTTGTATCACTCAGCTAAGTGAGCCTTGATTCCTTCCCATGTCTCAGTATTCATGTCTGCAAAAGTATACAATCATATTTGCTAACATTTCAGATCCACTTTCCTATGTGTAAATAACAGCACCAAGCAAAAGCAAACTAGGGCTTTAACATGAATAACTGAGATTAACATGATACAGGTGGAAATACTATCAATTTACCAGTAACAATTTACT